TGTTTCTTGTAATTTGGCCTGAAACTTATTTGGAATTTTATCACAAACTGTCCACATGTTGAGTCAGTTGTCCTCATGTTGGGCCTTTTTTCATTAATTTTTCATGGGAAAATAAGTGTCCTTATGTTGAATTGTCCGTATGTATGGGTCTCACTGTTATTTAATTTTATTTTTGTGTGTACAGGTAGTGGACTACATCCCGTCCATCTTCGACAAGCTCGCGGACGAGCTGGGCGTGTCTCTGGGCGCCGCGGCGCCGCTCAAGCTCGAAGGCGCCGGCAAGGACGCCGTGTCCCTCGACACCCTCAAGGACATGATCCTGTTCCTCGCCGACAACGCCGCCGGCCTGACCGCCCTCGCCGACTACCACGTGCCCTCGGCCACCGTGATGCACCAGCGGGGCATGGAAGTCACGGTGGCGGCCATGTACGAGGCCTTCATTCCCGCCCTGGCGGAGGAACTCAGGTCCTACGTGGGTCTCGACGGCCCGCTCGGGGAAGATGCCAGGGCCCTGGAATTGCGGGTCAAGTGGAGCAGGGAAATGTTTTTGAAGCTCGTGCGGAGGTTGATTAGCGTGAGTTGCATCGAGCCGTTGTTGGAGAAGGCGCAAGAGTTTGCCGGGCAGAATTGTCCGCTGGTGGACGACTACTTCCAGGTATAATTGTTGGAAACCTCCCCGTTGTTTTTTTTTTGGGCCGTACGAGATCAGAGATATATTTTCTTAATAAACCTTTTTTTGTACTGTGTTCAGAAATTCTCGAGGTAGGAGTCGTGAAATTATGTATGAAATCGAGCAGTTTTTTGCAACCATTTCTTTTTTCTTTTCCCGCGCATGGAAGTTAAAAATTCAACCGGTATAAGATTGAACATGAACAAAATTATTGTTCGAGAATAGCGTTCTTCAGATTTTTTTGAAACCTTTTGTTTGTGTGTTCAGAAAATTTACGTCACTCGATGATTGAAGTCAGGAAGAAATTCTTGAAAATGTCGAGGAAGGTTTCCTTGAAATACTGGATAAAATCTCATCGTACACCAGCTTCAATTACAGTGGAAGTCCGTTATAACGAATTTTTTTTTTTACAAAAGATTTTTTTCTTCGTCATTATTATAAGACAAAGTATTTTAATAATTTTCATGGGTCCCAGCGAAGAAATTCCTCGCATAGAAAAAAAGAATGTTGAAAAATGACAAAATTTAGTGGGGAAATTTCAATCTAGTTATGCTTGCTACCATTTCCAATCCCTGCTTGCGTTGAAGTGTTTTTTTTTATGAGATTCCATTTTTAAATACGAGGGGTCAAACAAAAGTTCTCGGAATGGAAATATTGAAAAGGCATATACACTACGATTGAGCTGAGAAGCAATTATTGTTTAGAAATGAAAAACTTTCTTTTGCGCCACAGAAAAAATGTAGCTTCGTTCAACGTAATTTTGGGAATTTTTGTTTTGTTTTTTTGCAGAAGTCACCCTCGTTGTTTTTTTGCTCTTCATTCAAAATATGAGGCGCCCATCTCGCAGATTGTTTTGGTGTAGCCCAGCTTTTCCTTCAGAATTCTTGAAATTGACATGGCATTACACTGAGACCCCAAGATGTAGATGTAATTGGTGCATCAAGTGTCCCTAAGTTGAGTCTCATTTTCCATTATACTTACATTAAAGAATTATGAATTTGTGTTTTATGGACAAAATACTCGCCATAATTCCATGGAAATAAAAATTGTCTCCCAATTTAAATTGATTCCAATCAATATATTTCAACACAAGATGGGCATTTGGGGAATTGAATACTGATACCTCTGTACACAGAGATGTACATAGAAATGTTGGCATTTTCTGTAAAAATAACATTCAAGTGTAAAAGAGAGAAGGAAGTCCCTCTATGCTGGAGGTTATTTTTTTAAATTAGCTAAATGGATGGTAAATTGGTAACAGAAATGCCCAAGAACTTTTCTTACATCAATTTGAGGGTTTGAAATATCTGTTTCTTCTAATTTGTCCTGAAACGTGTTTACAATTTTATCACAAAATGTCCCTATGTTGAGTCAGTGTCCTCATGTTGGGCCTTTTTTAATTAATTTTTTATGGGAAATCAAGTGTCCCTATGACGAATTGTCCGCATGTTGAGGTGTCTGCATGTGGGGGTCTCACTGTAATTCCAAGAGTTGCATCTATCAATTGATTATTAATTCTTCCACTTTCATCAACAGCCGCCATTTCGGATGAGAATGTGGCAACTCTGAAGCCGGCTGTTGAGGAAAACGGTGGAAATGCTTAGTAATCATACCTGGATTTTTTTTAATAAATGTTTTTTTTTCAGTTGAATCGCGTGCCGTTTCAATTTCTATTCTGTTAACGTTTGTTTGACCCCTTTTATAGTGAAAGGGAAATGATTTTTCTTTATTTTGTGTATAGTGCAATTCGTACAATCAATGAGGAGATGATACGAAGATCGTTGGTTTTTTTTTAAGGATTTCTTCTTTTTTTCCGAGCAGATTATGCATTCATGTTCCAACGAACAGCTGTTCATGGAGGACTATTTGAGGTATTTTCCGTTGGAAGAGGATCTCGAGCTTTTCGACCAATGCGACGTGAAGACGGACGAAATGACGAAGAATTACGTGCTGGATGCGTTGAAGAAGATTGTCAAGCATCGTCAAGAAACTGTGAGATTCCCAGAGCCACGCTTTCCTGAGCCCGTCAAGAGTGGGCCACCTGCGGCGCCACCGGCGTCCCCAGTCCAGTTCAAGGCGCCGAAGAAGAGGATTGTCACTGGGGCCAAACTTGAGTCTTTGATTAGTCAGGTATGCATTGTATGTATGTGCCTTAGGGTGTGAGGAAAATGATAGATGAAGGCACTTTGAGAGTGGAAAACATCTAGGAGAGGGACAATTTGGGACATTGATGCTGTTAGACGGGGACAATTTGAGATAGGAATAATTTCAAACAAGGACCATTTGAGAAAAGGGGCAATTAGATATGAGAATGATTTCAGAAGGGGATCATTTAAAACAGGAAAAATATGGGACTGGGATCATTTGAGTGAGAATGCAGGAATGATTTCCAACAGAGGCAATCAGACATGAGTATGATTTCAGATGGGATCATTTGAGACAGGAACAAGATGGGGCAGGGATCATTTGAGTCAGGCAGAATGCAGGAATGATTTCAAACAGGGACCATTTGAGAAAAGGGACAATTAGATATGAGAATGATTTCAGAAGGGGATCATTTAAAACAGGAAAAATATGGGACTGGGATCATTTGAGTCAGGCAGAATTCATGAATGGTTTCAAACAGGGGCCATTTCTGACAGAAACAATATGGGACTGGGATCATTTGAGTCAGGGAAAATTTAGGAATGATTTCCAGCAGGGGCCATTTCTGACAGGGACAATATGGGACAGGGATCATTTGAGTCTGACAGAATTCAGTATTGATTTCCAACAGGGACAGGGATCATTCGAGTCTGGGAGAATTCAGGAATGATTTCCAACAGGGACCATTCCAGACAGGAGCAATATGGGACAGGGATCATTTGAGTCAGGGAGAATTCAGGAATGGTTTCAAACAGGGGCCATTTCTGAAAGGAACAGTATGGGACAGGGATCATTTGAGTCAGGGAGAATTCAGGAATGGTTTCAAACAGGGGCCATTTCTGAAAGGAACAATATGGGACAGGGATCATTTGAGTCAGGGAGAATTAAGGAATGATTTCCAGCAGGGGCCATTTCTGACAGGGACAATATGGGACAGGGATCATTTGAGTCTGGGAGAATTCAGGAATGATTTCCAACAGGGACCATTTCAGACAGGAACAACATGGGACAGGAATCATTTGAGTCAGAGAAAATTCAGGAATGATTTCCAACAGAGGCCATTTTAGACAGGGGTAATCTGGCATGAGTATGATTTCAGATGGGGTTCATTTGAGACAGGAATCATTTGAGTCAGAGAAAATTCAGGAATGATTTCCAACAGGGGCAATCAGACATGAGTATCATTTCAGGTGGGGATTATTTGAGACAGGGATAATTCAGACAGCAAGAATTGAACGTAAAAAAAATGGTTCAAGATAGCATTGGAGTTGGAGATAAAGATTGCCTTCATTTATTTAATGTTTTTGTATTGGCCGTCTTGCGGAATTAATTTGCAGAAAATTATGTGTTAGTATTGGAGAAAATCAACATAAGTATAAATGAATTCTTTTTCGTAGAAGAAAAGTTGGAACGACAACTTTTATCTTCGCGAAATTTGTTGAGAAAATGTTAGCTGCTGATTGTGACGTAAATCTTCTGGATTGTTTTTGGAGTTCATGTCAATTTTCTGCGATGATCTCTCTATTTTTTTTTGTTTAGGTTACAGATTTGCTGCCGGATCTTGGAAGAGGATTCGTGCATGCCTCCTTGGACCATTTTGAATACGACTCTGAGCAGACGATCAATGCTATTTTAGAAGACCATTTGCCAGGGCATTTGAAGCAAATGCGTAGAGAGACTGAAGTTTGGGTCACACCTGACGCCGATGACGACGACAAGGTTTGCGAAGAACTTCTGCGGATCAAATCCATGTTCAATTAATTTTGTTTCCTTTTATAGTATGGGAATTATTGTCAAATTGAATAAAATGTACATAAAGTTTTACAAAACAATATTATAGAAAATATGTATTTTGATGTACGCTTCAGATAAAAACAGATCAGTTCCTTTTTTCAAGAGAGACTTCTGAAATGTTTGCGAGGAATTTTCCCTGAGAATGCATGCTGCAATACTTCACAAGATTCTGATTCTCCCTGGGGCATGCTTCCTGCTATTATAAATTATGAATGAATATCTCTTGAACAATAGAAGAATCATTTCTTGAAGGGGAAATAAATCCTGAGATATAATATGGAGTTTACTCCTCCTTGAGAGAATATTCTTGTGCAAATCAGGATTTGGAAAATTATCAGAGGTCATAGAGCCTGACAAACATTTTTTTGAGTATATACAAAAATTGTTGGGAATATTTGCAAAGAGAAACATATTGAGGGGAATTGCTCCTGAAACTTGAAAGGAGATCCGGTCTAGTAAATAGCTCAGTAATTTTATTTTGCCATGGATGTTTCCAAGCCTTTTGTTTTACTGTTGTTAGTAACAAATGTTTCAGAAGGAAATCTTGGCAGAATGTTGGATAAAAAAAATTGTTTCTACAGTGTGCAAAGTTGCACTTTGACAATTTTTCATGTACAGGTGTTTAATCTCAGTAACTCAAATCTCCAGATGTCAATTTTTTTTTTCTCAAGTCCATCTCTGAATTCCCTTGAAAGCATTGTAAGAAAACCTTAACTCAAAGGCCTTTCCAGGCAATTTTTTTTACGGACACAAGAACAATAAAAAAACAATGAAAATGGAACTTGATGTGTTTAGAAATGAAGTGAAAGACTAATAGGGCAAATGGATTCCCTGAATTCAGCATCCTGTCAACTTATTTCAAAAGCTATTTTGGGCCTAAAAAATGTCACTAATTTTGATTTATTTCAATTCTTTCTGTGATTTTAATGCAAAAATGCTAAGTTTTCCTAAGTTGAGGTTCCTTGTATTGCAACTCCACAAGATCTCATTTTATTTGATCATTAAAAATAATGAAGGGACGCATTTTTTTCCATTCCTGACTTGAAAAAATATGGAACATTGTACCTTGTGTTTTTTTTACTGTATTATTATCTCTGATATTCAAATCATTGAATGCATCAAGTTATAGTGAAGTGCACTCGAATCCCCATCTTTTTTTTTTTTTTTTTTAGAAAAGAAGTTGGAGAAATGGTGTTTTGTCTAGGAAAAGGGTGGCTGTTGACGAGCCATTTTCATGCCATTCTTTTTTGTGGTTTCGCTCTTTTTCCTTTGATCAATTTAATCGATTTTCCAATTTTATTTTTCTTCAGGATGGAGATTTGTACCCACTCGGGAAAGGATTCGGGCTTCCAGGCGTGGACCACTTCAAGAAGAACTCTGAGAAAATGCAAATGTTTAACGATGCTTTGTTGCCTGGGCATTTGAAGCGCGAGGCTGATTTATGGGGAACGGGTGATGCCAATGAAGAGGAAGATGTCGATGAAGAACTGCTGAAAATCAAATCCATTCACAAGGTGTGTTTGATTTTTCTGTACTTGTGTGGGAAAAAGGTACAGTGAGACAGACCCTCATCATATGCGGACACCTTGACATGTGGACAGTTCGACATAGGGACACTTACTTTCCCCATTAAAAAGAAGAATAGAAAAGGCCCAGCATGAGGACACTGACTCAACATAGGGACATTTTTTGATAAAATTGCGAATACGTTTCAGGCCAAATTACAAGAAACAGATACTGTATTTCCAACCCTAAGATCTATGCAAGAGAAGTTCTTTGACATTTCTCTAATCAATTTGACCATCCATTTAGCTAATTTTGAAAAATCACCTCCAGCATAGAGGGACTTCCTTCTCTATTATTGCTTTAAATGTTATTTTTTTAAAGAATGCCAACATGTCAATGCACTCTACAGAGGTGCAGTAATCAATGTTGCAAATGTCCTTATTGACTTGAATGATATTGATTAAATCTGTTTCAATTGGTGGACATTTAAAAATATATTTTTTCATTGAATTCTGATGAATACAGTGAGACCCCAGGATGGGGATGTAATTGGTGCATCAAGAGTGTCCCTAAGTCAAAATGTCCCTGAGTTGAGTCTCATTTTCCCCTGGACTTACATTATGTAATTTTTAATTGTTGTTTTATGTACAAAATACTCACCGTAATTCCATGAAAATAAAAATTGTCTCCCAATTTAAACTGATTCAGTCAATATATTTCAACACAATGTGGACATTTGGGGAATTGGATACTGATACCTCAGTACAGTTCATAGAAATTTTGGCATTCTCTGTAAAAATAACATTTGAGTGAAAAAGAGAGAAGTAAGTCCCTCTGTGCTGGAGGTAATTTTTTTAATTAGCTAAATGGATGGTAAATTGGTGAGAGAAATGCCAAAGAACTTCTCTTACATCAATTTTAGGGCTTGAAATATCTGTTTCTTGTAATTTGGCCTGAAATGTATTTGCAATTTCATCACAAAATGTCCCTATGTCAAGTCAGTGTCCTCATGCTGGGCCTTTTTAATTAATTTTTTATGGGAAAATAAGTGTTCCCATGTCAAATTGTCTGCAGGTCAAGGTGTTCGCATATGAGGGTCTCACTGTATTTCATCCACAAAACTTCAATTAAAAATTGTATAATGTAAGTTTAAGTAAAAATGAGACTCAACTTGCGTATACTTCAACTTACTCGGACACTCAGGGTCTCACTGTATATTTTTCTGGAATTTTTGGGCCATGTGTCCAGTCAAATGCCGGATGTAAGGGCAGATTTTTTTTTCGCGTTTCAGCACCGAATTTATATTCTGCATGTGAAAAATTGTCCCGGAAGCCAATATTTACTTTTTCTGTCATCCCGAAACAGGGCAAACGAGACGACCTGAAGGACGTGTTGAACCGGAGGCCGGACTTTACGCAGGCGGAGCGAGACCGTTATTGGCACTACGGAAGCGCGACGGAGTTCCTGCCGTCGACTCGCATCGCGGACGAATTGGACGACGACGACGAGTACGACGACACCTACGACGCCGAGCCCGAGTTCCGCCCGGAAGGCGTGTCCCAGCACCTGGACGAAAAGCCGGGCCAGTCTGGCCGGGAATTCACTGCCGAGCCCTTGAATCAACGCAAGGCCCGCGGCCCCAAGCACTGGACCTTGCGCGATGACGATGATGATGACGACGACGATGAAGACGAAGACGGCAACCGGAGGCGCCGAGACGCCTTTTGCGAGAACCCCGAGGAAGTGAGGCGGCGGTATGAGCAACGACGGGCGTCTATGGGCGGTCATCGCGGCGGCGGCAGCGGCGGCGGTGGCGGAGGGAGAGGAAGTGTTCGCGGGGCGCCTCGTGGCGCCGGTCAGGACGACGAAACGTTGCGGAACCGACGCAAGAAGGAACAAAACAAGTCTGTTTCTGGGAATCATAATCGCCGGGCCCAGGCCCAGTGGAAACGGCGGCAGTGCTGAAGAAGAAGAAGACCGAAGAAGGAAGTTCGGTGAAAGAAATACTGTGAAAAGTGGAAAAAGTTTATTTTTCCAACCCTGCTTTGTTTTTTCTTTTCTTTTCATTTCTCTTTGGAAAAGAAAATTTGAAGCGTTTGTTTTTTTGTGTCGACATGATGAGGAAAAAAAACGTGGAAATTGGAGTTGATCCATGTGCGGGGTGTGCAAGAAATGTGAGGAAAAAAAGTATGGCCATGGAAGAATGTGACTTCGGTCCCTCTGATGATCGAGTATGTGAAACGCCACTTTTTCGTTGTCATCCTTTGATTTTTATATTTTGCATTCGACGTATAAAACTGTTTCTGTTGAGGAAACTACAGTATTGGTCTGGTGAAGATAGGATGTGATTTTGAAAGTTTTTTTTAATGTGAAAAGCATCATCTATGAATTTTCTATTATTTTCTAAATTCAAGAAAGGGATTTTAGAAGCAATGATTGAACACTGAACTTCATGCAAGAAGAATTGACAAAATGAGCAATTTTTCCCTTATCTGTTGTGGAAGTGCTTCAAATGTAGCTGCTTCCCACAAAAGTTCAGCCCTACATGCCCAAAAAACCATGAATCTCATCATAACAAAATTTTCCTCGAGAATAAAATTTGTCCTCAAATTTCAGGAGGCTTGTAATGAGGTTTACTGAATTAGTGAATGCATTCCATTTGAAAGAAAAAATCAAGTACAGTACAGTAATAACATTATTATTGCTTCCCTTGTTGGGTCTTTTTTGCTGAATGGATCTTGAAGTAATATTCTCAGAGCAAAGCATTAAAATCTCTTTACAACAAAGCAATTGGGACCAGGAAAAAAGCTTTGTTATAAATATTGTGTACAAAGGAATTCCAGTAAAATTTTTAGTATTGTGTAGGTGCTTGAAAATAAATTATTTTTAATGCCTTTATTTGTTTTGAAGAGAGATTTTTTGTGAAAAAGTGATCAAAGTCTAAGCACTAAGTTTCAAGTTTTGATCAACATGACTGAAAAAAGAGTTGAAAGCGCTCTTTACAATGTTGAGCGAATCATTTTTATGCACATTTTTGTGGTGGATTTATTGTCAAAAATTTTTGATAATCTAGAAAAACTCGCCCAATTGACAATGTCCCTGATATGACTTTTTTCATCATTTTTTTTTAACTGTAGACAATCTTGTCAAAGTTCATCTGAGTGATGCTGATGGAATTTTTGAGCAGAAAGGGGGAAACATGAAGGGATATTTCTGAATATGTGATCATTCTTTAAAATGTCATGGTTACTTCCAGAGTTGTTCGAAATACTTCAACTAGTGCCCAAAACACTGCATTTAAAAATTTTGAAAAACTTTGAAATCATACCTTGTTTATCCCTTTATTTCCTGAGTGAACGAAATTTATGAAATAATGATGCAAAAATGCCTCTGAGCTTACAGTTTGTGAATCAAAATCTTGGATGAAAATCCCTCATCTCGCAATGTTGGATAAATCTTAAATTGAGGTGACATCTATATGTTAGCAACGAATATTGTGGAATCTTGGGCATGCAGGAGAAAATCGTTGAATTTCACGTTTTCTACCTTGGGGAATCCAATTTATTTTTTCCAGTGATGAAATGGGAAGTGGAGTGATGATTTGAAAAATTGAGGAAAAAAAAACTTCAAATGATGTATGGAAATTTTCATTAGTATTTTTTGATCATCATCATTTCAAAGGTTTGTTTACGGAAATAGTTTTACGTCGAATGTACTTTGAAAAAAAAAAGAATCGTTTCATGTTTTCCTTGTGCAAGAATGAAGCAGTTGTTTTTTATTTTCACCAGGAATTCCCCGAAAAAACCGGCAACGAGGAACAAAATGACTTTTGAGGGGACTCCCCGTGAGAGAACCTTCATTTGTGTGAAACCCGATAGTGTCCAACGGGGTTTGATTGGTGATATCATCAAGAGATTCGAGCAGAAGGGCTTCAAGCTGGTTGCCATGAAAATGATGCAGGCATCTGAGGAATTGCTCAAGGCCCATTACGAGGAACACGCTGCCAAGCCCTTTTTTCCGCCTCTGGTCAAGTACATGGGATCTGGGCCTTTGGTACCTATGGTGGGTTTTTCTTATATCAGTGAGACCCCGAGATGCGGACATTATTGGTGCGTCAAGAGTGTCTTCGAGTTGAATTGTCCCTAAGTCTAGTCTCATTTTCCCCTGGACTTACATTATGTAATTTTCAATTGTTGTTTTATGTACAAAATACTCACCGTAATTCCATGAAAATAAAAATTGTCTCCCAATTCAAACTGATTCCAATCAATATATTTCAACACAATATGGGCAGTTGGGGAATTTAATACTGATACTTCTGTAAAGTACATAGAAATGTTGGCATTCTCTGTAAAAAATAACATTTGAGTGAAAAAGAGAGAAGTAAGTCCCTGTATGCAATAGGTATTTTTTTAATTAGCATAATGGGTGGAAAAATTATGGGATAAATGACAAAAAAATTTTCTCGCACAAATCTTAGGGTTGGAAATATATGTTTCTTGATAATTTGGCCTGAAATGTATTTGCAATTTTATCACAAAATGTCCCTATGCCAAGTCAGTGTCCTCATGTTGTGCCATTTTTATTAATTTTTTATGATAAAATAAGTGTCCCTATGTTGAATTGTCCACAGGTTGAGGTGTCCACATAATGTGTCCACACTGTATTCCTATACTAATCTTAAATGCAAAATTTTTCCAGAACACCCCCAAGATGTTAAATGAAGTGCCTACACAATTACAAATATTTAATGTTTGCAGTTGGACTCTTGAAAATCCAAAAAAATTGGGACAGACATCCTGGCACTATCTTGACATTTGGACACTTTTTCAGCATTTCTGTGAAATTGTTACATTCCAACTTTTCAAGAAATTGGATATCTCTTGGACAAATTGAGCAATTTATATGCACAGAAGTTAAAAAATGAATAGTATTATATAGTTAATTGAATTTATAATGAAAACTGGTCAATTTTGTGTTTAATTTTTAGCATTCTTGTATTCAACTGTGCACATGATAGCAAGACTTGAACCTTTTGTTTGTATTTTTGAGTCCCTTTTGTGCCAGAGAATCATATTCTGTTTTGGTTTCCTTAATCAGTATATTCATATTCTGTATCTTCAGGTGGAGAAACACATTTTATTTGATTTTTGGAGATTTATTCCTAATTTTCCATGAACTGGAGAACTGATTAAATGAGTTCCCATTTAAGTCTATGGGAAAACAGCATCCAACATGTGGACATTCTGACATAGGGACATTGTTCCAGCACCAATTACATCTGCATCTGAGGACCTCACTGTTCTTGGTTCTTTTTTGTCAATTGTACAATATCAAGAAAAATTAAAAGCCTGATCATTGATACCAAATTGAGAATTGTTTTTTCCTCTTTAATTATCTCCCCTAGAGAACATATAAAAAATCTATGATTCAAAATATGGATTGTGTGTCAAGTTTATTTCTTTGATGGCACAATAAAAAGGAGTAATCTAAAAGCTGAATAATTTATTCTGGATCAACAATAAATTTTTTTCTTTTTTGATTCTGTGGAATATATAATTGCTTCCTTTCTTTGTTTCATTTTTCATAATGAAAAAAATTGGAAGATTGATAAAACAAAAGCTGAATTATTCATCTTGGATAACCATTTATTCATATTTGATTCTGTGGAGAAAAGATTCAAAATAAAATAAGAGATGAGTAATATATTATGAATCATAAATCATTTATCCTTTTTTCATCCTCTCCCTGGAGAAGAGATGAAGGGCATATAATTAAAAATGTGGAATGTATGTTTGGTTCTTTTCTTTGTTTGATTGTTCAATTTAAAAAAAATAGAAGAGGGATATAATAAAAGCTGAAATATTTATTAGGGATCATTATTAATTTATTCTTTTTATTCTCTCCCTGGAGGAAAGATCAAGGGCCTATGATTAAAATTGTGCAATTTAAGCTTTGCTCATTTCTTTAATTTTACAATATCCATAAAAATGCAATAGGGGTTCAAAAAGCTAAATTTTTCTATTTTTCAATTCTGGACTAATAATTCGTTTATGCTTCTGTTCTGCGTTCCCCAGGTTTGGGAAGGACAAGGTGTTGTCAAGATGGGCAGGATGATCCTGGGGGAAACGAATCCCTTGGATGACCAGCCTGGCACGATTAGAGGAGACTACAGCATTCGAATGGCCAAGTAAAAGTCACCTTTCTTTTTAAAAAAATGTCTTTCAAAGTGCGCGGTTTCCTGTAAGAATTACTTTTGTTATTTGTTTCCTTCTTTGTTTATCTTTTAAGGAATGTTGCACACGGGTCGGACGCAGTGGAATCTGCGAAACGCGAAATTTCTCTGTGGTTCACGGATTCCGAGTTGAATTCCTGGAGTCGGTGCGATGACAAGTGGATTTATGAGTGACGTATTCCGTGTCTCAGCGGTGTGCGAAAAATTATCAAAAGCAGCAGCTTTTTATTTTTTTAGCAGTGAGGCCGGACGTATCTGGTGACGCGTTTGTCCTTATGTCAGAACGTCTCACGTTTTTTTCCATAGACTTCAATGGGGACATAAAGTGAGACCCCGAGATGCGGACGTAATTGGTGCATCAAGAGTGTCCCTGAGTCAAGTCTCATTTTCCCTTGGACTTGCGTTGTATAATTTTTAATTGGTCTTTTATGTGCAAAATATTCATTGTAATTCCATGAAAAATCTTATTACAAGTTTATCTCCCAATTGAAATTGATTTGATGAATATCTTTCAACACAATATGGACATTTGGGGAATTGAATACTGATACCTCTGTACAGTATNACGTTTGGGGAATTGAATACTGATACCTCTGTACAGTATATGGAAATGTTGGCATTCTCTGTAAAAATAACATTCAAGTGAAAAAGAGAGAAGGAAGTCCCTCTCTATGCTGGAGGTAATTTTTTTTAATTAGCTCAATGGATGATAAATTGGTGAGAGAAATGCCAAAGAACTTTTCTCACATAGATTTTAGGGTTAGAAGTATCTGTTTCTTGTAATTTGGTCTGAAACTTATTTTCAGTTTTAGCGCACAATGTTCCTATGTTGAGTCAGTGTCCTCATGTCTGGCCTTTTTTATTAATTTTTTTATTGGAAAATAAGTGTCCCTATGTCAAATTGTCTGCATGTGGGGTCTCCCTTTTATTTTATAGGTTCCCCTATTCATCAAAAATTAAGAATGAAGTCCCCAAAAAATTCAGTTAATTCTTTTTTCTCAACTTCAAGATACAGAAAACAACTGCTCAGGAGGAAAACCACACATAATCTGATCTGTTGGCATTGGAAAGAGGCTCAAGAAGCAAAAAACAAGTCTTGCTATACTCTGCACAAATAAGGAAAAAACTCCAAAGCATAAAACTAGCCTTTTTTTAAGTAAATTTGAGTAAATTCGTAATGAAATTTATTTTCAGTTTTCTGTGTGTTGAATTAGATCAATTTGTTCAAGAGTTATCAAAATTCAGGAAAAAATAGATTTTTTAATATATCTTTTAATGTTGGAATGGTGTCCGTATCTCGAGACAATGCCCATATTTTTGTTGTTAGAAGTGTCCCTTAATCGAATCGTCCGCATTTCGGGGTCTCATCATATTATTTTGTATACTGTACGTCCTGGAACGAGAATTCCACTTTACACAAGTGTGTGTTCTGTTTTTCAGGATCATTTCTTCAATTCCTGTTTTTTTTTTGAGTGAAACTTTAAAAAAAAAAAAAGGTGTCAAGTGTTTCTGAAGCAATGTTTTCTCCGGTGAAGCCCGAACTTCTCGTGAATCTCACGCAAGAGTTGAAGCAGATTTCGAGAGACTTGAAAGACGGCGATGAGGCGACATCTGCCTTGGAACGGTTCTACGAAAAGTGTGCGAACGAAGACTCGGTTCCCGAAAATTACAGATGCGTCAGCACGAAGAATTTGGTCAGTTTCTATCAAACTGTGTCATTTTCTGATTTTAAAATGAAGGAGGAAACTTTGAACAAAGTCTTGTATACATTTATAAATTTTTTTCCTTGTGAATTATCCAGCTGATGAAGATCAAAAGTGTTGAGAATTGGTTTCCTTGTTTGTCTGAAAATATGAAAATCTTGCGTTGAGGAATTTTTCAGAATGTTTTTCTGTTTACTTTACATTTATAGTAATTTTTTTATTTCAAGAATTTTTTTAGAAAGTTGTAAGTTTTCTTAGAAAAAATTGTGGTCAAAGAATTTACCCTTATATGTGGTGCAGGAAGTTATTGTTGCAACAAATTTTTCAGTATAACAAATATCTTTTTACCAAGTCCCAGCAGAAATCCTATGGGGTACATGTTATGAAAATTTTGTTACAAGATCTTTATCTTGTAACAAGATTTTCTGAAGTCCTTCACCTTTTTTTGGGTAACTTTTTGCAATTGACAATTGAATTTTTTTTTGAAGATCACAGTTTTTCGAAAATGGAAAAAATCTGAAACTTTCACCAAGAGGAAGATCTTGAAAATAATGGAGCTTTACCCTGAAACAATTTTCCCAGCAGTGAATAATTTTGAAAATCTTGTTATGATTAATGCATTAAATATAAAAAAATTTCTGAATTCCTTATGCAAAATCTTGTTATAATTAATGCATTAAGTATAAAAAAATTCTGAAATTATGCAAAATCTTGTTATAATTAATGCATCAAGTATTAAAAAAATTCTGAAATCCTTATGCAAAATCTTGTTATAATCAATGCATTGAATATTTTTTTTAATTCTGAAATCTTTATGCAAAATCTTGTTATAATTAATGCATTCAATATTTTTTTTAAATCCTGAAATCCTTATGCGTTTGTTGTAATGAGATTTCCCTGTACAGTATTTAAAATTATTTGAAATTGTTCCAGAGTAAAATGAAGACCTTGTTGACGTCGGTGTCGCAAACGTCGGACGCGGAAGAACAGAGTCTGCGACGAGCCTTGGGCATCATCCATGAGATCAGGACACTGCAGGCCAACTACCGGCACCGGCAGAAGGCGACGGGCCAGCACGAGGTGATGCGAAGGGGCGCCTTGATGATGCTGCTGCAGTCCTCGGCCAGCACCCTGCCGTTGTACGTCACCAAGGGCAACAACTGTGCTCCTGCTGCTGGCCCACCGGCCTTGTGTGGCTGCATCCCAGCCGAGGCCAACCATGTGTCCAAGGTGGCCCACTTTTTTTTTGTGTTTTGTCTTTGTTTGTGTATGCATTGAAAATATGAATGCTCCAACAGAAGGACAATTTTTTGACTCATAAGGGGCCTGAGAACATATTATTGCAGTAGAAATTGAAGCAGCATATGATTTGAGGAGCTGATGAAAAAAAAAACAATTATTGTTCAGAAAACCAAAACCTTTTTTTTTTTTTGGCCCAAGAAATGAAAAAGTCAGAGCCATCTTTGGCATAATATTTTTTCTTCAGAATCCTCAAAAGTAATACAGGTGAACCTCAATAAGTCAAACTTCCCCAAGTTGATTTTTTTTAGATCCCCATTTGAATCCCCTTAGAATTAATACAATAAAAACCTCCACAAGTCAAAGGCTTTGTAAGTCAAATTTTCTGAGGCCTGTTGGCTATTATTTTCTTCACCCAAGAAAGAAAAAATAATAAAAGCAGTAATTTATGTGTTTCAAAAGAAAGTGAAAGACTTGATTGGGCAAATGAACCCCTGCAGCATCCTTTCAACTCATTCAAGCAGCAATTTAAGCCCAAGAATATCACCATTTACAATTTTTGGAAATTTTTCTATGTTTTCCAAGAAAAAAGAGCTTTGTATTGTAGCTCAAAGCTCTATACAGTAATTTATAACCTCCCTAAGTCAATTTTTTTTTTTTTTGCTGGTCCCTTGAAATTCTACTTAGAGGGGTTCAACTGTACATGGCATTAATTCCAAAGGTTGCCTCCAGGTCTTAATTCCAAGGTATTCCAAGGCTGCCTTCAGAGTTGCCACATTCTCATCCAAAGTGGCAGCTGTTGATGAAAATACCTTGGAATTAGACCTGGAGGCAAACCTTTGGAAATAATGACATGTTACTTTTGAGAATTTTGAAGAAGAAAGAAATATGTCAAGCAGGACCAAATATTTTATTTCTTATGCCGAAATAAAGTTTTTGTTTTCTGAACCATTTTCATCAACAGCTGCCACTTTGGAGTGGCAACTCTGAAGGTGGTTGTTGATGAAAATAATATTAATCCCATAACAATAATAAATAATAATTCCAAGGTATTTGCACTATTATCATCAACTGCTGCCCTCAGAGTTGCCACATTCTCATCCCAAGTGTCAGCTGTTGATGAAAATAGTGAAAATACCTTGGAATTATTATTTTCAACAGCTGCCTTCAGAGTTGCCGCTCCAAATAAGTGGCAGCTGTTGACTAAAATGGTTCTAACAAAATGTTCTTGGAATAGAAATTGAATCAGCAAACTATTGAATAGCTGAAAAACAATTATTGTTCATAGGAAAAAAAACATTCTTTGGCACAAGAAATACAAAATTCAGCCATGTTCACAGAATTGTTTGGATACTTCTGCAAAAATTCACTGGCAGATTTTTCTTGATCACTCAAAAGAAGAGGTGCTTTGTTCGCAAATTTTTTTTATGCGTCCCAGCGTATTCTTGAAATTGACTGGCCATTGATTCCAAGGGTTGCCTCTAGGTTTTCCGCCATTTCTTATCAACAGCCGCCACTTTTTCACCCGAAATGGTGGCTGTTGATGAAAATAGTAGAATTAATGACCGATTAATGGCGGCAACCCTGAAATCGATAAAATCGGGAAAATGTTCTTCGAGCGAGGCTGATTGAAAAATTCTGATTGATTGAAACAGGTTTATTTGACTGAGGTATATAATATTTGAAGTAATATTGCCTTTTTATTTCACCCCAGCCAGGTGACATGGTGGCGGCCCAAGTCAGGGCATCGGATGGCGACGAAAACTGGATTTTGGCGGAAGTGATGGCCTACGATCAAGCCCTATTTCCCTGTACAGTATTTAAAATTATTTGAAATTGTTCCAGAGTAAAATGAAGACCTTGTTGACGTCGGTGTCGCAAACGTCGGACGCGGAAGAACAGAGTCTGCGACGAGCCTTGGGCATCATCCACGAGATTAGGACACTGCAGGCCAACTACCGGCACCGGCAGAAGGCGACGGGCCAGCACGAGGTGATGCGAAGGGGCGCCTTGATGATGCTGTTGCAATCGTCGGCCAGCACCCTGCCGTTGTACGTCACCAAGGGCAACAACTGTCCTCCTGCTGCTGGCCCACCGGCCTTATGTGGCTGCATCCCAGCCGAGGCCAACCATGTGTCCAAGGTGGCCCACTTTTTTTTGTGTTTTGTCTTTGTTTGTGTATGCATTGAAAATATGAATGCTCCAACAGAAGGACAATTTTTTGACTCACAGGGGGCCTGAGAAAATGTTCTTGGAGTAGAAATTGAAGCAGCATATGATTTGAGGAGCTGATGAAAAAAAAGAACAATTATTGTTCAGAAAACCAAAACCTTTTTTTTTTGGCCCAAGAAATACAAAATTCAGCCATGTTCACAGAATTGTTTGGATACTTCTGCAAAAATTCACTGGCAGATTTTTCTTGATCACTCAAAAGAAGAGGTGCTTTGTTTGCAAATTTTTTTTATGCGTCCCAGCGTATTCTTGAAATTGACTGGCCATTGATTCCAAGGGTTGCCTCTAGGTTTTCCGCCATTTTTCATCAACAGCCGCCACTTTCTCACCCGAAATGGTGGCTGTTGATGAAAATAGTAGAATTAATGACCGATTAATGGCGGCAACCCTGAAATCGATAAAATTGGGAAAATTTTCTTCAAGCGAGGCTAATTGAAAAATTCTGGGCTGGACAGGTTTATTTGACTGAGGTATACAATATTTGAAGTAATATTGCCTTTTTATTTCACCCCAGCCAGGTGACATGGTGGCGGCCCAAGTCAGGGCATCGGATGGCGACGAAAACTGGATTTTGGCGGAAGTGATGGCCTACGATCAAGCCCTGGGCAAGTACGAGGTGGAAGACATTGATATCGAGCAAAAAGAAAGGTACGTACCTACGTGTGTTTGTTTCTGTTATATGCAGTGAGACCCCGAGATGCGGACGTAATTAGTGCATCAAGAGTTTCCCCAAGTCAAGTCTCATTTTCCCTTAGACGTACATTATAAAATTTTTAATTTTTGTTTTATGGACAAAATACTCACCATAATTCCATGAAGATAAAAATTGTCTCCCAATTGAAACTGATTCAATCAATATATTTCAACACATTATGGACATTTGGGGAATTGAATACTGAGTAATAACTATGTAAAGTACATAGAAATGTTGGCATTCTCTGTAAAAATAACATTCAAGTGAAAAAGAGAGAAGGAGGTCCCTCTATGCTAGGAGGTGATTTCTTTTTAATTAGCTAAATGGATGGTAAATTGGTGAGAGAAATGCCCTAGAATTTTTCTTAAATTAATTTTAGGGTTGGAAATATCTGTTAATTGTAAATTGTCCTGAAATGTATTTGCAATTTTATCACAAAATGTCCCTATGTTAAGTCAGTGTCCTCAGTGTTTGGCCTTTTTTATGGTAAAATAAGTGTCCCTATGTTGAATTGTCTGCATATTGAGGTGTCTGCATGTGGGGGTCTCACTGGATTTTTTATTTTGTCCTAGGAAGAATGGGGGACATTTTTATGGCTGTCAGCAAACTGAATTTTTTGTTTTATTTTGCAGACATAATCTGAACAAGAAAAGAGTTGTTCCTCTGCCAAATATGAGAGCAGATCCAATCACGTGTCCGGAAGCGTTGTTTCCATTGCGATCAGTCGGTAAGTACTGTACAGTACACTTTTTTCCTGATTATAGATGATACTGTGCTTGAATACCGCAATACTATATGCAGTGCATTCAACCCTGGATTTAGTGCCACATATTCTGAACGCCAAAAAACTCCAGATTATGTGTGATTTTTTTCTGCGCTATGTATTTTTCTATGCATCTTGAAGTTGAGAAAAAGTATTAAATTTGATTTCTTTGGAAGATCTCCTAATTTTTTGATCCACAGAAGAACCAATTTAAAATCTTCACATTGAAGTCCAAGGGGAAAATGTGATCCAGCTTGCAGACAAAGGGACAAGGTCCAAGCATTAATATGTCCGGATCTCGGGGCCCTATACTGTATTCACACTTGTTCCCAGCAGAGTTCTTGAGCGAATAGTCATTTAAAATTGGTCGTGGAATTTTTGCAAAAGCATTGTGAATTTTCAATGAATTTTTTTTTTAATTTATAAAAAGAACCTTTTTTTCTACATGTCGGTGTGGTACATTACTGTACTTTCTTCTTGTTCTTAGTGCACGCTATATATCCGCAAACGACGTGCTTCTACAAGGCCCAGGTGGGCAAGCAGCCGGCGCACCCATTGGACGACTACCTGGTGTTGTTTGAGGACTCTCAGTACCCCGATGGTCTCTCACCGCCTTTGCCGGTGGCGCAGAGGTACATCATCAGTTTGCCGGGCAGCAAGAGAGCCGCCCGACCGGCGGCTGCCAAGGACGCCGCCAAGTGACCACAGTGTAATGTATGTGTCGGTTTTGAGTTGGTGGGTGTGTGTTGATCTCCGTGAGGTGGATGTTGGAAGGGCTCTGTTTTTTGTTTTTTTTTATATACTGTACTGTACTTGTGTTGTTGTTTTGGTGGACGATGAAGCGGTTGAAAGACAGGTTCTGGTTGTTGTCATTTGCATGTCTATGTTTTGGTTTGGATGTGTCTGTCTGTCTTGTGGAGTTACACAGGAATTCCTTGATAAACAAAGTTAAAAATTTAGTCAGTGTAATGGAGAGTTATTGTTGGAGAAAATGGAAAATATTTTAGAGAGACATATAGTATAAGTGTCCTTACAATTTTACTTTTATAACTGTTTCACAGCCAGAACACTTGATTATTATATAACAGAAGGCTATGTCCACAGGTTCATTTTTCCTTTCACTGCTACTATTGAAGCATACATTATTTACTAGAGTTACCATTTACCTATCTATTCCTCAAGAGGTGAAGGCAAACAGACCTTGAAATTTTCTTTTGGTCATTTATTAATTGATGGTGAAATTTGAAGGAAGAGCCACTCTTCTTGATTGCACCTGGCTTATTTAAACATGGGCTTCAATTATGAGTCCCAGATAATTCAAGAACTGTATTCTACAGTGAAATCTCATCTTGGCAGTAAAACTTCATGTTCAGGATCATTTTTTCAAAGTCCATCTAGTGTAGCCACATTTTTACTCAAATCTCAGTCTGTGACATTTATTGTGACAGTAAGATCTTGTTACAACAAAGCACTTATTGGGACCTTCCAAGACATGTTCTTTAATGGAAAAGATTTTTTGATGATCCTCAAATAAACTATATGGTATTACAGGAGGGAAATGAAGTTGTTTTAAACAATGATTTGCTAGACCAAGACAAGGATTACTGTACCACAATATCATACTGAAATAAGCGAGTATCATGAGGAAGGAGTTACTAAAAAGAAATGTACATACTCAAGGTTTCTAGCAAAAAGCGAATATATTCCAGTTGCACCACTCAGCTTACACCAGTAGCTTTCCAACCCAAGCCAGCAGCTACCCTTGTTTTCTTCCCAAAAGGCCTTCAAAATTAAGCACGACATATATGCCTATGTATCATTGCCCATAACATTTCTGTCAAATGGGAACACACAGGATTCACCCTCCTGTTGCCAATGGCCCAAGAATAGCTCACATGGAAACAATACTTCCCCCACACCCCTCATCTCATTTGCCAAAAACAAGCTGCCATAGAACATTTCTGTAGCACAGAGCTGTTACACACACAATGATTCACACATACAAATGATCTTTCTTCCTTCCTCCCTCCCATTTTTCTCTCATCTATTGCACATTTCCCCATTTTGCTCATAAAATTTTTTTTGGCGACATTATCTTCCAATGAACACCATCAACACAGGTTCTTGATGAACCCCTCCTCACAAAACAAAAAGAATCCCCTTCTGGGTTGCTTTTTTTTCTCATGACCAGACCTCTTGAGCGCATTTCACAAAACAGGTTCACTTTGGCACAGTCATGTGTGCACAATGTGGGTAACTTAATACTGAATTACTGACACATAACTTGAACACAAAAATTATCCATCAGTTGTTGCTGTACTGTACTGTACTTGAATTCCAACCATGCCATGTTGATTTGTACAGATTCCTCTCTTCTTTTTTGAAAACAACCCAAGAGACAAGACAAACCCCCCACCCACAAGTATTTTTCATCATGCAATCCCCACTTTCAGTCATTCAACCATTTTTTTTTTTACTCATTGGTCATGAGAAAGGAAGAACATGATTATCAACAGTTTTATGAACTTACTCCTTCACAATGATTTTTAGCTCCACTTCCTTTCTTTCTCAGAAGAAAATCCATTGGTCATAACAATTTTTCTGTACTTAGGAATGAAGTACACAAGGTACTGAAAAATCAAGAAAGAATTCCTTGGATTTTAAATTGAATTTCTAAAACCATCAATTGACTTCCCTGAGAATTCAGCATTAGTAGAAGGAAGATTTATATTCAAAGAAAAATATTATCACTTGATGATCCAAAGTTTTGTTTGTATCAGAATTGCAAGCAAAAAACAAATTTATTTACATTTTCTTTCTTCTCTATTTACTCCTTTCTTCTCAACCTGGGTGTTGAAAAATCCGAATTCGGGTTCATGAAATAATATTGAAAAAAAATTAATAAAATCCATGATAATTTTTAAGGTACACGGTAACGCAACAAACTCATGATAATTGTCTTTCTATGAACATATGCATGAAATACTGTACTGTACAGTGACTTTCTGTTAAGTCACATTCTGCATCAGAAAATCAACTTACTTGTCCTTGAAAAAAAAGAAAAAAATATTCAGGGAAGATGATGATGGAATCCCATGAAAGTTTTTAATACCAAAGTTGGTTAAATATGTCCTTTTTTTGGCGTACTTGGCTATCACATTATTTGTTACAAGATCCTTAGTTTCGCAGCATATATACAAAAAAGGCGTTGGAAGAACGGTTAAGACTCTTTGGCTTGAAACAACACTTGCCACCGAAGTAACCTTTGGACGCTGGAAGTCTTCTTTCCCGCGAATACATGTTCTTTTTCTTTGAGCTTCCCTTTTCAACTTTTTCTTCTCTCCCCCCTACGAGACAGTGAAGACGCAGGGATGTCAGCAGTGCTGCTGCTGCTGACGATTGGCATTATTGGAGGTGGATTGCGGCGCCGTGGCGGCAGCGGCGGCGGCTTGCACGATCCCCGCCGCCGCCTCTCTCCTCGTCCGCTTCAGACTCCACTTGCACGACAGGATGCGGACGTAGGTGCGTCGGAATGCCGCGTTGCACAGGGCGTAGCACATGGGGTTCACGGTGCTGTTGATGTAGCAGAGGTAGTAGGCGAAGTTCCAGAGCTCCTTGGGGATGAAGTCGTCCTCCTGGTCGGACTTGAGCAGGTTCTTGAGCAGGGCCAGCACGTTGTACGGCGTCCACGTGAAGATGAAGGCGCCGAGGATGGCGGACAGCGTGCGGGCAGCGCGGTGGGAGTCGGACTTGCGCTCCTGGTTCTTGCGCCGCTTCCGGTCGGGCTTCCGTCCGCCCACCGCCGGGTTGCTCGGGTTCGTCGTCGACCGAGACAACATGAGGTTCCGCGTCGACGACGAGCCCGACACCGGGAACATGGACGACCGGCGAGACGACGTCAGCGACGGGGAACCCGCACCGTCACGTCCGCTCGAGTCCTGCGACGTTTGCGCCCTGCGAATATCAATCAGTCGATTTGGTGAGAGTGGGAGACGATAACCTTGCACATGTACAGTTGGAGAACCTCCATAAGAAAAATTCTTCAAGTCCCTAAATTTCCTTGGAAAAAAAAAATGCACAAAAAACCTCTCCAACTCAAAGGCTTTTCCTCTCAATCTTCCATGACTCAAATTTTCCAAGACCTTTCAGCTACTGTTTTCTCAACACAGCATAGAGAAAATCAATAAAAAAATGAAATTGAAAAGTTTTGAATTCCCTTAGGAATTATCTGTTGCCTATTATTTTCTCGACACAAAAAAGAAAAAAGCAGTGAAAACAGAAATTGATTTGCTTTAAAAGGAAGTGAAAGACTTGATAAGGCAAATGAACCCCTGCCTCCAAGTTCAGCATCCTTTCAACTCACTCAAGAAGCAATTCAAGCCTCAAAATTTCACCATATACAATTTTGAGGAATTTTTCCATCTTTCCCAAAAACAAATGGGCTTTGCATTTTAGTTCAAACCTCTTCAACTCAAAACCTCTGAAAGTCGATTTTTTCTTGTTGGTCCCTGGAAATTGGACTTGGAGAATTTAGACTGTAATGGATATCACACTAATCCTAAAGGGAAAAAGTGACTTCCCTTACAAACATTCTGCCTAGCAAACACAATCCTTGAATGGATTGTGTTTGCTATGCAAGGCCATACTGTGCAGTACTTGAAAAACTAATATAATTCAAACACTTTGCTGATTACACTCACGATTTCGTTCGTAGTCATTAAGCAAAATAAAACAACAACAACAAAATCAGGCTCGCACCTAAAAATGTTTGTAAAATGATTTTTTTTTCTCATTCTTCTTTCTATTCATTTACTTGACTCTTTGATTGATCGGGTTCTTGAGCGAGTAGTCCGACAGGAACCCGCGCAAGGCCGCAATCGGCGACCCAGGCGGGTAGGGTCCCTTGGGAATCTTTTTCCGAATAGCCTCCTCGTCTTCATCATCATCATCCTCATCCTCGTCTTCTTCCCCTCCTTCAGGATCCTCCTCATCGTCATTCCCGTCATCATCCGCGTCTCGTCGACCATCAACGTAATCGTCGTCGTTGTCGTCGTCTTCCGGATCGAAGCTGTCCGACACGGTGGCGTCCTCGCGCCTGAGCATGGCCCGCGGTCGGGACGCCGCCGCCGCTGGCACTACCGAATTGCTGCCAACGACGCCGCCGCCACGCCGGGCCGCCACCGACGTCGTCTTGGGTGTGAACTGAATGTCCGGCTCCTCGCAAATCATGCGGATGGACGGCTGGCGTTGGAATCCGTCGCGCCGTCTCTGAATCTGCGAGTAAACAAACATGGTTAGAGGGCCGCCCTCTCGAAAAATCGGAAACATTTTCGCTGAAATATTCTGATAAATAATTTTTAATAGCTTAATATTTTAAAATAATCATTTCTTCCAAATAAATAATTTTTATAGCTTAATATTTTAAAATAACTATTTCTTGTAAAATATTATAAATAAATATTCTTATTTCGTTTATAATAATATTATTATAAAATTACAGTATTTATTTCATGTATTTTAATTAGTACTGTATAATGTTTAATAAAATTACCAGAATTACAGTGAGACCCCCACATGCAGATACTGTACCTTGACCTGCAGACAATTTGACATAGGGACACTTATTTTCCCAGAAAAAATTGATAAAAAAGGCCATACATGAGGACACTGACTCAACATAAGGACATTTTGTGATAAACTTGCAAATAAATTTCAAGCCAAATTACAACAAACAGATATTTCCAACCCTAAAATTGATGTAAGAAACGTTCTCAGGCATTTCTCTCACCAATTCACCATCCATTTAGCTAATTTTAGAAAATTACCTCCAGCATAGAGGGACTTCATTTTTTTTCACTTGAATGTTATTTTTGTAGATGCCAACATTTCTATGTTCAGTACAGAATACACTATTCAATGCTCCAAATGTTCTTATTGAGTTGAAAATGTATTCATTAATTCAAATTCAAGGGGCAAACAATTTTTTCAGGAAATTTTGAAAATTTTTTCTTCCATAAATCACCAATGAAAAATTATATAATGTATGTCTATGGGAAAACAAGACTCAACTTAGGGACACTCTTAATGCACCAATTATGTCCGCATCTGGGGGGTCTCACTGTATTTATTGAGCGAAATTTTAATAAGAGTTACGATTTCTTTTTTTAATTTTTTCAAAGAGCTTTTGAAATATTTTGTATTTTATATAATTATAATTATAGTTATTTTTTATTTATAATTAATATGAAAATTAACTATTATATTTTATTTAGACTGTTTCGGATAGTGAACTGAACCCCCGGCACTCCTTGATTTTCCAATTGGCAAAATTATTCTCTTCGAAACTCGGAAGTTAAAAGCGAGTGGCGGGTTTAAATTATCAATCATGATTCTACTGATTTTTTTTTTTTATGGAGTGATCGAATGAATGAGAATTTCATGCAGCTTCACATTACTCTGAATGAGAGCCTCCCGAGAAGAAAGAAAAAGTGAAATTCTAGCTGAAAACCCCGAACGTTACGCTTCGGATAGTGGACCGACGCCTTGATTTTTCAGGAGACAACCCGGAAAATTAATTCGGGTGCTTCAAATTAATCCTGGTGATTTCGCTAAATTTAATATGGAATGATTAAGGAATTTCATGCAGCTTCAAATGACTCATTGATCGCTTGACGAAGAGCAGAGAAAAACGTGAAATTTTCGCGGAAACTCAGAATTGTTTATGCTCCGGATAGCGGACCGATCCTCGGAGCTACTTCATTTTTCAAGAGACACTATAATTCTCCTCAAAACTCGAAGTCGTCAGCGGGTGGGTATTTGAAATTAATTCAGTAATCAGTACTCTCAATTTCGATGGATTTTATCTGGAATGAATCGGGAATTTCATGCAGTTTCACATTAATCATTGATCAACAGCGGGATTTTTCGGGATCTGTAAGCAATCAGCATTTTTAAACACAATACATTTTCACTCCTCGAATGTTACGTCTCTTCTCTGGGAGAACTGATGGATTTTCAACTAAAACGCTGCTTCCTCAAGTATTGATGTCATCAACTGTTGTTGAATCGTGTACAGATTTGTCGGAAATTTCGTTTCGTCAAGATTTTTTTCTTCAGTTTCTCGCGGATTCTCGACACTTTTCTCATTTGTTAAAGACATCAAAAGAACAAGTGATCAACGGCATTCAATTTTTCGTCTCGTAGTCTCGGTATCTGGTGAATAGTCAAAAATTATTTCTTTCGCGAATCTCTACGTATAGCGGAAAGAAATTGATTTTCAGAGAACACAGAGGAAAAAATCAATAAGAAAAAAAATGCCCCCAAATGAAGAATATAATGCTTGAGAAATCAAGCGGGAAAGAAGAGGATGCGTCATAGACGGACTTACAATTTTAAAAATGTAATATCAACATTTTCAAAATTCAGATACGCGTCATGCTCGATTCTAAATTAAAATTCGAACAATTTTGAGGAACTATTCTTTTATCGAAAGAGTAAATACCAATCAAATTTGGATCCAATGCGAGTTAATATTTACCTTAGTTTTCAATTCATCTTCTGTATCTCATGAAACAGTCAGAAGTACAAGTGATCACCGCCATTTAATTTTTCTGAATTTGAAAATATTTAGCTAAGAAGAGGGTTTCTTTCCCCACGGTGAGCTAATTATTATCTAGGATCATTTGGGCATTTAAAACAGCATCTCGCGTCGCCTTTGCTCAACCCTTCAAGCATTTCTGCTCTCTAAAGTTTTGTTTGTTTGTTTTGTTTTGCACCTTGACTTTGGCGGGATCATCAATCACGGTGACAGCACCAGCGGGATTGCACAACACTGGCTCTTCTTTCTGGTCACGCAGCTTGTTGGATGATGAAGATGATGATGTTGCTTTAGCAGCAGCAGCAACGTTGGAAGCAACACTCGGAGGCTCGGCAGGCAACTGAATGAGAATCGTGTAAACCGAGTCCGACGACAAACAACGACGAGCCGGAAGTCGGTGACGAGACGTCGATGAGCCCGACCCCGTGTCCCCAGCGGGTTTCGACCGGTGATGACCCTTGGAACCCGTCCTGGGGCGACGAGTCGGGCGGGAAGCACGCGGTGGGATACACGGCGGTGGATAGTAGGTGGCCATGCGGCTGGCCAAGTCTGCACACGTCGCCACCTCGTCCAGGGATGGTATGGAGAACCTGTGTTTCTTGCCCTGACTACACAGGTTGCCGGTGCTCTTGCGACGCTTCAGCTTCCCCGCGTTGCTCGACGACGTCGACATTTGCCGGCTGAACATCTCCGACATCCATTCCCACCTGTGCAAAAAAGAAAATTTAATAAATATTCAAAAAAAAGAGGGGTGAAGACACTCAATCAACCATTATTCATCAGACACGGATTAACTCTTTCTTTTCCATTGGCAGACAATCCAACCAAAAAAGGTACTTTCCTGTTATCTCAGTACCTCCCAAAATCAGTTTATGCTTTCTTTGAGTTTCTGCTGAAATTGATTTTGGGAGGCGGTTAGGTAAAGTTAGGTTAGGTCAGGTTATGTTAGTTATAAATATCTTTTAACTAACATAACCTGACTGAAAACCCAACCGCCTCCCAAAATCAGTTTCAGCAGAATGCGGAAAAATAAAATTCACAGTTTCTGGTAGGTGCACGGAAAGTAGGTACTGAGATAACAGGAAAGTACCCAAAAAAATTAGTCGAAATGCTTCCTTTAGCTTTGATAATACCTTGTTAGTATTGTACAGTACTGTATAATCTAATGAAGTAAAATTTCGTTGCAGCGAAAAAATCCGTTGAGAGCAAACTCAAATAACAAACATTTCAGCTATTGGACAGGAACATAAAAATGAATTATTCGTTAAAACGAGATTCTGCAGTAATTCGATATTTCTAGGAGCATCACAAAGGCCATTAACTGAGTACTGCACTGTACTGTATTTACTTGAGTAGGCGTTAAAATATCGAAAAATTATATTCCCCGGGTAAAACGTGCAGCTCATTCATTTTTAGTGACCCTAAAACAGCAACATTTGAAAAATGATACACACCAAAATTTGAATTTGGACACGAATGAACAAGAAATCAATTACCGTATTTACTGGCAATTCTTTTTTATAAAAAAAACGATTCTTAAAATTACTTCAACTTCAGATACTCGATTTTGGATGGGAAATTTTGGATCGATCTCCACATAAATTTTCATGAAAACAATTAAAAATTGATTACATACTCGTTTGATTCGAGTCCAAATTAAATTTGTGCCTTTACTGCTGCATGTTTCGTGATGCAAAATCATTTCGGCATCAGGAGAAAAAAAAATTAACCGTTGTCGCCAGGTCGTAATTTACCTCGAAATGCGGTGGCGACTGGAGCCAGTGGTGCTGCCGGTGCGGCGACGCGAGCGATTGGCGGCGTCCGAGATGAGGGCAGGGCCGCCACGAGCACCGCCGCCGCCAGTGAGTCGGTGGATCTCCGTGTCGTCGTCCGAGTTGGCACGCGGGTTTTGAGCATCCAGGTTCACCACTTGCTGCTCGTCCGACGAGTTGGAACGCTTGCTCGTGTTCCGCGACTGCTGGTTGTCCGCCTGCAAATACGACAAGTCCTTCTTCCGCTGCTCCGTCTCCCTCCAAATCCTGGTGCGCATGAATAAATAAATATAAAATAATGATGAATTATCATCCTCATCACCGAAAAAGTGAAATATCGCCAACGCAGGTTTCACTTTTACACTCCTTCATACGGATGACGATTACAATTTTAAGTGTCCAAGACAAATTTAAATGAAGTTCAAGAAAAATACAGTAAATAAAACCAGGTCTTCACCAAAAACATTGCTCTCAAAAATAATTTTCAAGAAACACAGTCTGACTACATTTGACAAGGAACAAAAATCATCTATGCTAGCATTTCGGAATACAGAATCAACCTCAAATATTTTACCTGGAAAACTTGGATGTAAAGACCGAGTCATCGCGACGCATTTCTCAAAATACAATATAGACAAGTCCTTCTTCCGCTGCTCCGTCTCCCTCCAAATCCTGGTGCGCATGAATAAATAAATATAAAATAATGATGAATTATCATCCTCATCACCGAAAAAGTGAAATATCGCCAACGCAGGTTTCATTTTTACACTCCTTCATACGGATGACGATTACAAATATGATTTTTTTTTAAATCTGTACATTGAACACACAAAGGTCTACGTCAAATAAGTACTGCACTAGAAAATTTACATTTGGAAATTAAGTCCGCTTCTATTGAAACAGGAAAAAAAATGTCATCAAGTGTCCAAGACAAATTTAGATGAAGTTGAAGAAAAATACAGTACATAAAACCAGGTCTTCACCAAAAACATTGCTCTCAAAAATAATTTTCAAGAAACACAGTCTGACTGCATTTGACAAGGAACAAAAATCATCTATGCTAGCATTTCGGAATACAGAATCAACCTCAAATATTTTACCTGGAAAACTTGGATGTAAAGACCGAGTCATCGCGACGCATTTCTCAAAATACAATATACATCCGATACGACTCTTTCAAATGTAAGCTAGGAGTGTATATTTCTACAGTAGCGAAGTTGACATACAAGTTTCGCTCCTTTCTTTTTACACCCATCAAAAGCTAGCCACAAAATCAAATAAAAGAGCTCGTTCAGCAGAATTTCGTTCATCAATTGTAGCCATTGTAGACATTGGAATAAAGCAGTCCCCAAAAAAAAATGATATAAAATACAACGCCTGCCTAAGAACAAAAAAGAAAGAGAGAGAGATAATAATCAGCCATCAGGAACACACCTGTAGTAGAGACCAATCATGACGGAGACGGGCAAATAGAAGGCGGCCACCGCAGTGACCAGAGTGACGGACGTGTTGGTCTCCAGGAACTGGATGAAACACTTGTCCTCGGGCACCTTCCGCTCGCCTTCGATGTAGGGCCAGGCGTAGATCCACGGCGGCCACAGGGCCAGGGAAATCAGCCAGGCCGAAGCTATCATCAGTGCTGCCTTCTTTCGAGTTCTTCTCGCCCGATACGTTAACGGCCTCGTCACACTGCGAGAAAAATTTAAGCACAATTTTCAATATTTATATGCGCAGAATCGTCGCTGGCTCTTCTACGGTATGAAGACTACACCGAGCGTCTCACAAAAAAGAAGAAGCGTGTAAAATGATAACTGAACACACTACAGCAAAAACACCTTCACAAAAAGATTATCACTATCTCGACATTAAAATTCAACTTGGTAAAAGAGTTCATACAGATTCCTCGTTGAATGTGAGACTTAGACGCAAGTAACTCGGTCTACATTAACATTTTCTCAGCCATCCCAGCTCTTTTTTTCGCGTGTTCGGACAGACTTTTCCCTCCTTTCAGGAAAGAGGAGAGATTGAATAAGTTCAAACAAAATACAGTATACACTTTTTCGAAACTTCACAAAAAGAACACAGGAATCCAATACACAGCTGGAAGAGAAAAATTTTTCCCAGCATAGAGAAAAAACTGTGAAATACTGTAAATGATTTCATTATATCGTGGCAACTCATCCGAAAATCATAAATCTCAATATTTTTGTTCATCGATCCTCGAACATCAGAAGTAAAACGATAAACAACTAAAAATGTTTTGTTTCTTCACAATTTCAACGTATTGGGAATGTCTTAGAAGACTGAGACTGACCGAAAAAATTCGTGATGATTAAAATTTTCAACGAAATACTATAAATTTACTTCACATTTTAATTTCGCTTACGACTACTTTGTTATGGAGCAACTCCAAGGCATTACGATTGAACCCCTCTCCTATTTATTGAAAAAAAAATATTCTAGTTCTTTTTATATTTACGACAGGGGACCGAACTTCTGTTACTTCTTTGGAGTCACGAAAATTCGCCGCTTTGTAGCTTTACTTTGATACATCCATCAGAATTCGACATTTTCTGCCAAAATCGGAATATTGTTCAGAAGAACAAAAAAATTACTGTCACCTTGGAATATACAGGAGACTCTCTCTACAACAATTTTGTCTACACCGATTTTCTCTGTATGATTAGTTTTTTTCCTGGTCCTCTGGATTTTGTTGCAGGGATCCCCACAAGTACCACATCGTCGCTCTAAAAAACTTGCACGATTCTGGGACCGTATCTTGAAATCGGAACCTTTATCGACGGCAAAAAATGTGTATTATTATTCTGTACGGAAGACAGTTCCCTCTGTTCCATGTTCAACAAAACAGTCTCGAGGAAAAAAAAGAGGCTTTCATCAAACAAAAACACACACACACACACACACATACCTAAAGTATCTGTCGAAACTGATGATGAGCAGGTTGAGCACGGACGCGTTGGACGCGAGGTAGTCCAGGGCCAGCCACGTGTCGCACACCACTGGCCCCAGGGGCCACCTGTCCAGCAACAAGTACATCGTGAACAAAGGCATGGACACGAGACCAATCACAAAGTCGGCCACTGCCAAGCTGAACAAGTAGTAGTTGGAGATGGTCTGCAGCGTCTTGTCAATCTTGAACGACAGGATCACCATCACGTTTCCGAGGACGGTGATGACGGACAACGAGCCGGCCACCAGAGCAATCAGTATCATTTCCCATGTCTTGTACGGGAACTGGTACGATGGGATCGGGGACGGCGACAGCGTCGTCACCGATGACACCGACGACGACGTCGCGTCTGAAAATGACACAAGAGCTCTCGTTAATTCTTCGTATCTCGTCATTAGAGCACCAATTTTATCGACGGGGTCTAAATTATCGCTGAAATTACCACGACAGCCTTGGAACCCTTCCAAAGGTCCCAATAAATAATGTGGAACAGGAATTACACGCTGAATGTCTCAGCCCTCGCATTAAACAAAATCTTCGCGCAGTTCTGAGAAGAGCGAAAAAAAGGAAAACTTAGTGAATATCATAAAAGCTGCATCAAGCCTGATCCTGAAAAATTAGAACCCAATTTCGATTTTCGACAGTATCTGAAATCATTTCAGTGATACGTCAAAATTGACATTAGGCCATTCATAAAAAAATGAAAAATTGCACATCAGCCCAACCCGGTAAATAAGTTTCTCACTTTCACGTGTCGAGAATAAATTTAATATCATTAATTTGAATAATTGGAAGTGAAATTTGATCGAAGTTTTGATCATATTCATTTTCAGCTCCCTATAAAAATAAGTGAAGAAGAGTCCTGCTATTTTACTCATTTGAACGCGTTGGGGATGAAGTCTTACAATTTTCAAGAAGTGTCCATTTCAAACAGACGACTGTTTTACATGACCATTCCAACTTGGATTTATTATTCTTGCACAATTCATGGATACATGTCAACAAACTTAACAATTTTAAAAACGTCCAAACAGTATTCACATTTCACTATATATACTAGCACCATCAAGATATATTGGCACCATTGCACCACTTCTCGACACGTATGCCACGAAACTATTCGCATATTATCAGCAAAAATTAGCAGAGTATTTCCTGCATCTGCAGTCGACGTTTACGTAGTGCGAAGCATTCCAAAAAACGGATCCATCAAATTTCCTATCATGAAGTCTCGAAATTGTTGAGTTCAATTTGAAGCTTACCTGAAGTAGTCATGGATGACAGCGATGACGCTGTCGACGTGCTGCTGTGCCATTCTGTTGCGTTCATTATGAACTTTCCAAAAGCGAGTCATCATTACTGATCTTGTTTCCACATGGTTTCCAGGTAATCATCTATGATCCTTTTCAGACGTGGTTTCACAGACTCCAACTTCTCCAACGGCCTCAATATCTTTCCCTTCAAACGATTCCATCACAACGTTCCAAGACAGTTTAATAAGCAAGAGCCCTCTTTTTTTCGATTTATACATATATCACTTTTGAGCAAACCGGTCACGGCGTTGTGCTTATAATTATTCACAAAACCTGATGAACAACAGGATGTGCGAAAGAAAAAAAAAAAAGCATATCGAATGTCAGGCATTTGGAACAGCAACTTCCAAAAGATCCAAATCCGGTGGTAGAATCGTACAGGCTTGTCTCAATCGCATGACCCAAGAATTCCGGACACACTGAAACATCCAGTCGTCTAAACAATCGGAGACACTGAAAAATCCTTTCTGTTCAATTCCACAGCCAGGGATCGACAGAGACAAATTTAGCTCGACGAAACCCAAGAACCCTGTTTACTTTACGCTAAATTTGGCACCACTTCGTCCACACCCACTGTTTACAAGAATTCATCCTGAGTCATCGCACGCTTTTCTCCAACTGTGCTATCTCGCGATGCGCAGAACACAAACAGGTAGAACGAAGATGCGTCCGAAATATGTGAAAATTCCAAAAGACGGAATTATAAATAGAGGCGAAACGACGTGTAGGCGTTACATCTCATATTACGCGAGGAGCACTATACCAACGGACGACACAAGATCCATATCTGAGGCAGCCAATAGTTCTGCCTCTTACCTTAGAACATTCGTCAACGACACTAGCATTCGCATTAGTCAACTGGCTGTCATAATTCGCATTCAACCAGGAAAAAACGACTCGAAAAATTGGACTTCCAACCCCACGTCCGCGTTTTCAACCGAATATTAAAAACATGACACAGGTTTACCGCCGACACGAAAACAACTTTAACTATACACAGGTAATTTATTTATTCTTCAAAATGTCATATTTCACCTTTCATTATGAACTCTCTCTCTCTCTCTGATTTAGTAAGGTCCCTTCCACCTTCGTAGTTCTGTCACGTCATTCGAAATCGCACAGGAAGCAACAAGGAATCATGAAATTGAAACGTTCACGTCAAAATCAAGAGTTGCGAACAGATGTTGCGGAAGACATAATAATCGGCCAACATTTTGGTGGTGCATTCATGTATGGTGGAACACCGAACAGTTTCGGGTTATCTACCGCGTTAGGATTGTTCAGGCTTTTTTGTGCACAAGCCGAACACTAAGAAATACGTCCGTCAATCAAAAACCGTTGTTGCACATTATCCAGAGAAAATATAATCTTGAAAATACATAATCATTCGTCATCATAAATCGAACGCCATCACCCACGCGTGCGACTTGCTGAAGCATTCGATCGCCCGCATACTGAAGCAAGAGGGTGGGCATGTTGTTACTCCCAGCAGAATCGCTCATAAATCACAGAGCCAAACAAAAAAGTGTGGGCGTAGACACAATATCCAGTACAGAACTGTACCGCAATATAATATGCCAATCCTCATTATACTTGTACTGTATAATTAACATACTCCAGTACACGCCAACAAAAAATGTAGATAAAAAAGGGGGTGCGCATCATTCGCTCGCCGGTAAAAAGTTTTAAAAAATTCTACATTTTGAAGTGTATGTGTTTATCTTATTAATTCCTCAACAGCAGATCACCTCTAGTACAATAATTCTTACAGGTACAGTACATTGATAAATAATGTCTAAAAGAAAAAACTACTGTACCGCGTAGCAGAGGTAAATACAGTGCAATATCTGCGTGTATTTAAGCTCAACTGAAAAATGAATTCGTTTTTCACATATTATGCTCGTAAAATATAACTACTGTACTGTACTATACACAAAAAAACAATCAAATCGATATTTTTCTTGTATTTTGAATATTCGTATGTACTTCGCGCATACGAGGGTTAGTACAACTTCGTAATCATTAAAGTACTTTGACAAGCTGAAAAATAAAAAAAAAATATAGGTTTGGATTCTCGGGAATTCTTTGATTTCATCTGATGCACATTGATCAACCTGGTACAGTACACTTTGTAGCAGTACAGTACTTTGTTTAGGATATTATTCAACCATGATATTTTTTTTAAAGATTCAAAAGCATTTACATATACATATCACTCCCATATTGTTCAGCCGCTCCTGTTTTATTTTTTTCCCCATGGATAGATTTGACTTCTCATACTTATTCATCCAACTACAGTATATGGAAAATAATTCAAATGAGCATAGTATAATTCAAGGTCATAAATCAGTCTAAGAATACAGTATATGTTGAGATCATATGTTCATAATTTTCACAAATGATGGCAGTTTATTAATTATGCATCAGTTCAGGAAAAGCAAAACTAATGGAATAAACTGCTTTTCAAGTTTTTTTCTTCAAGGAAACAACTGAAAAAAAATCATGAATAAACATAAGACCTTTGTACAAGATTGGTGCTGAACAGAAATTACAGTTAATTGTCAATATTTCCACCAACATATACTGTACATGTACAGTGGCCCCCCGCCTAACAGATACAACTTCCCGTTTAAGGGATTTTTGCCAAACAGACCAGCTCTGCAAGCAGTTTTCTCTCCCACCCAACAGACAAAATCCACCAAAAAGACTTTTTTTGGTTTAAAATTAGTGTTGAAAATTGCACTTTTTAATTTTTTATGTAATTGAATTCATGTAAAGCAGTAAAGGACTTTTGGTCTAACAGACTTGTCCCTTGCACAAATCAAGTCCGTTAGACAGGGGTTGACTGTATATGACTTGTAATGACGGTTATACCATTTGTTTTACCTGCATACCACACACACCCCACTTTCATGTTTTGACTTCGCAAAAGAGTATGCAGGCGTACAGTATAATAATGGTACAGTACTTACATAAACACAGTACTCAACACTATGGAAAGAATACTCAAATGTTTTTTGGCCAAAAAGCGAATATATTCCAGTCGCACAATTCAGCTCACACCAGTATATCTTTCCAACACAAAGCCAGCAGCTACCCCTTCTCTTCCAAAAATGCTCCGCAAATTAATGAAATTATGCACAACATATACAGCTATGCATCATTTCCCATAACATTCCCATCAATAACAAACAGACAAGATTCATTATTTTCCTGCCGCCAATGACCCACGAATAGCTCACACGTAGACAACACTTTCCTTTGTTTTACCTGCCTCAAATCATTCATGTAGTACAAAGCTGTTGAACACATTGATTAAAAAAAAACATCACGGATTTCCTTTTTCTATTTCTTTTCAATATTTCTATTGTGAATTTCCCCGTCTTTCTTTTCTCTTTGGCAATATTCATGTAAAAGAAAAAACAGCACTCAATTGAACACAAGAAAAATCGCGGACTGGAATTGCATCAAAAGATTTTTGGCTGAACGCTTTTTACACAAACAACACTTTGGCATGAGGTGACTAAATACTGATGGAAAATGAACACATAAGTCAAATTTGGTTTTGCATGTTTTCCAACAATCAATTTTTTGAGCTTGTCAAACATTTTTTCCCATTTCACAGAAAATTTGGAATGCAGAGTACTGTACTGAACTTCCATATCACCAAAAACATTGGTGAAGACATCATAGCGTCATGAAGGTGTTTTTTCACTGTACAGCAGAACTTCAACAAAAACGCTGGGAAAAACAAAAATTTTGGCTTATGAAGTTTAGAGTCGGCAAAATCAGCATTCTTGCTTTACAGGAAGGTACAATTACTGTAGTTATATTTTGCGATTGAAACTGCTGGATAAAGGGTTTTCATTGAAAAACTTTGATAAAATTGTATCCCTAAGAAATTAAAGAGTTGACAGGATGCTGGACTTGGAAGCAAGTTTAAATTTTTACCAATTAGGCACTCAGTTTTTTTTTTTTTTTTTTTAGAATACTGTATTCACTCAATCACTGTAACATGCACCTGCACAAAAGACTTGCACCAGGGGTTTTCAGTCAAAAACTTGGACAAAATTTCATCCCTGAGTAAGATGCGCACCCCATTTTTGGCGCCTCTAAAACTGCAATACAGTATCTACAGATTAAGAAGACAGTACCCAAATTTCAGTTTATACATGAATTCAACTACTTTTCCTTTTTTTTTTCATCACAAAAAGTTTTTCTGTTAAAATTGGTCCAGGATTTCCCATTGCAATCAAATATAATTTACACAAAAACTTCTAAAATGTATACAAACGTATGATGCTTGCCCCTTTTTTCTCTCTCAATTTTGAGAAAAAAGGTGCTCACGGTACTTGAGTGAATACAGTACTTCAAAAACTGATCAGCAGTACTGCATACAGGTAGACTCTCTCTGCAACAAAATGCAATGGACCAGAAAATAAATCATTGTAGAGAACCCATACAACATGGAGAGAGAACTCTGTGGGACTGCAAAAAAATTTGTTAAACAGAGGAAGTCGTTGTAGACAAGATTCTTGCAGAGAGAGCCATTTTTACTCCATTGTGCCTCACTCTTTTAAAAGTTATGAATCACTCCAGTCCTCCTTTTCAATTTCACATTTCCATTCAGGACAAGTAGATAAGAAGGCATGATCATCAGCTGGATGCTAGCTTTTAAAACCATCAATGACAGGACTATAAAACGCTTAATGAACTTACTAAAATTCCAGACTGTCTTACCCTATTGTTCTAATCTAACCAAGTTACGAGCCTCGCGCAAACCCCCTCTTAGACGAGCCTGAATAAAACAAACGTCTTCTGGGGCATTTAAGGGTATCTGGCAGAGAATCTTTCTCCCTCCCCTTCCATCGTCACATAAATACTAATGTTCAGCGTCAGCTTTCGGTTCAACAAACGAACAAAAAAAGAACACGAGAGGATGAGAGACAGGATCCAGTACTTGACCGTACTTTCCTTATACGCGGAAGATAATCGTAAATCTTCATCACAACCGGCCATAGCCCTAACGACAGGAATATACTTCATACAAGTTGGGTTACACAAAATAATTTTTCCCGGCCTGTTGAGCATTTTCCCTCCGTCATTCTTCGAATTAATGAAAACATTTCAAGACATGCTGACGACGAATAATTTATATTACCTCAACATTACGGCAAAAAAAAAATGTTACGAAGCTCTCGAGGAAATGAAATGAACGGCCTCAGCACATTTTTTCTCGGCTACAAGTGTAGAAATGGAAGTAATCTCCAATTTTACTAAAATCCCCGCAGAGATCGCTGTCAATTTTTTTTTTTTTTTGTGTTCCTATAACGAACTTCGAGGCTTTCGAACACGACTGATTTACTGAATCACGTGCAGGCACGAACACTTGAACACTTAAAATCGAGACTAAGATTGTATGACTTCGATTCAAATCAGATTCTCATAAAAATAATTCAGATCTAATCATAATTCATATCCCATCAAATATCATATGGCCTGAAGAACGCATGTCAAGAAACTTCAACACACACAAAAAAAAGACTTTCAGTTGACAACTCAAAATTCCGAACAAATATTTTGATGCGTTTCGGAAAAAAATGTTGAACAAAAATTTAAAGTTGCATCTCAGGGGATCGGAGAAGCTCATAATAAGTTCGGCACCTCGTAGTGACAATCGGTAAACAACTGTTTTGTCAAGAGTTCCTTTTGTGCCGAACTCGTGGAACACATAATACAGCGTACGGGCTTTGCCCAATTCATCACATTATTCGTTACGAAGAGATCCTTAGTTGCGCAGCGCATACATAAAAAAAAAAGAGATGGAAGAGCAATTCCGACTCTTTGGCATGAAACAAGTAACGTTTGAACACTGGAAGTAAGTTTTCTTGGAAACACTTTTGAGCCACCCGTCTCTACATTCATTTTTTTTTTCCGATCCATGCCACAGTTGCTATTGGTGCAGTTGACGATTGGCATTATTGGAGGTGGATTGCGGCGCCGTGGCGGCAGCGGCGGCGGCTTGCACGATCCCTGCCGCCGCCTCTCTCCTCGTCCGCTTCAGACTCCACTTGCACGACAGGATGCGGACGTAGGTGCGTCGGAATGCCGCGTTGCACAGGGCGTAGCACATGGGGTTCACGGTGCTGTTGATGTAGCAGAACAACATGAGGTTCCGCGTCGACGACGAGCCCGACACCGGGAACATGGACGACCGGCGAGACGACGTCAGCGACGGGGAACCCGCACCGTCACGTCCGCTCGAGTCCTGCGACGTTTGCGCCCTGCGACGAAAAATAAAGATAAATAAATCATTTATGTTTTTTTTTTGCCAGCAAATTTGCTCCTAATCGTGTCGACGAGACAAATTAAAGTCGGCGTTTCATCTTTCTTAGGATTGAAAACATGAATTGCTCGAGAATCTGTCAAAAAAAAAAATGGAGCAAATAACGTTGTACCTTTTCAAGTCAAACTTCAAGGGACCAGAAATAATTTTTGAGTTTTACGCAGGTTTCTATTCAAGGAACAAACATGGGGGAAAAAAGAATTCGCAAGATTTTCTGGACCTCAAAAATGGTGTTTTTTTTCAAATTGACAAGATGCTGAAGTTGAATGAAAGGGTACATTCCCCCGATTCGCATTTTCCTTCTTTTCATAACACATCGTGACATTTTGATTTCTTTTTTTTTCTTTCCTCGGTCAATAAAGTAACATCCAAGGGGCTTCCAGAAAATGGAGTTACGGAGGTTCGATGGGCAAAGCCTTCAATTTAGTGAGGCTTTCAATACATTGTTTCCAAGATAATTCAGCGAGGGATCTTCGACTTGGGAAGGTTCGAGTCATGCAGATTCAACTGTATTTTAATTTTCACTTTCACGCTACCGCCGTCACAGAAACCACTGTCGAATTTCAGAAAAAAAAAATCGTTTCCGAATTCAATGAGCTTACCGCGATGCTATCATCCTCATAAATTGACATGCCCTCGAGTGAGGTATAGCTCAAACCTGAGATAATTCGTTGAAGAAAACTAAATGATTATATTCAATCTACCAACTGAATTATAATTGGATTTTCCATTGGCATTTCGATTTCTTGACGCCGTAAGAAGATACATCTTTCAAACAACAGGATGAATAAAGTAAATTACTTGATGCGTTGACAGTTCGGGTTCTTGAGCAAGTAGTCAGACAGAAACCCGCGCAGCGCCACAATGGGCGACCCAGGCGGGTACGGTCCCTTCGGGATCTTCCTCCGAATTTCCTCTTCGTCTTCTTCCTCTCTTCCACCATCGTCATCATCATCATCATCAACGTCGTCGTCGTCGTCGTCATCCACGTCGCGCCGGCTACGATCACTGTCGTCATCATAATCGTCGTCGTCGTCTTCAGGCTCAAAGCTGTCCGACGCGGTGGCGTCCTCGCGCCTAAGCATGGCCCGCGGCCGGGACGCCGCCAGCACTGAGTTGCCCAGGACGTCGCGCGGCGTCACTTGTGTTGACGTCGACGTCGTCGTTGTGCTGTTGGGCGTGACCCGGATGTCCGCTTCCTCCTCGCAGATCATGCGGATGGACGGCTGGCGCTGGAATCCGTCTCGTCGTCTCGGTATCTGGTGAATAGTAAAAAAAAAATTATTTCTTTCGCGAATCTCTACGTATAGCGGAAAGAAATGGATTTTCAGAATACACTGAGGAAACAGTCAAAACGAAAAAAACATGCCCCCAAATGAAGAATATCGCGCTTGAGAAATCAAGCGGGAAAGAAGAGGATGAGTGACAGACGGATTTACAATTTTCAAAATTTAACATCAACATTTTCAAAATTCAGATACGCGTCATGCTCGATTTTAAATTGAACTTCGAATAATTTTGAGGAACTCTTCTTTTACCGAAATAGTAAATATCAATCAAATTTGGATCCAATGCGAGTTAATATTTATCTTAGTTTTCAGTTTATCTTCTGCATATCATGAAACACTCAAGAGTACAAGTGATCACCGCCATTTAATTTTTCTGAATTTGAAAATATTTAGCTGGAGAGGGTTCCTTTCCCCACGGTGAGCTAATTATTATCAAAATTATTTGGGCATTTAAAACAGCATCTCGCGTCGCCTTTGCACAACCCTTCAAGCTTTTCTGCTCTGAAAGTTTTTTGTTTTGTTTTTGTTTTGCACCTTGACTTTGGCGGCATCATCGATCACGATGACAGCACCAGCGGGATTGCACACCACTGGCTCTTCTTTCTGGTCACGCAGCTTGTTGGATGTTGAAGATGATGATGTTGCTTTAGCAGCAGCAGCAACGTTGGAAGCAACACTCGGAGGCTCGGCAGGCAACTGAATGAGAATCGTGTAAACCGAGTCCGACGACAAACAACGACGAGCCGGGAGTCGGTGACGAGACGTCGAAGCCGGAAACCTTCCCGAACCCCCATCTTCTGCACTAGGTTTCGAATGATGACTTCTCGACCCCCGCGGGAGACGAGACGTGCGGGAAGGACGCGGTGGGATGCACGGCGGTGGATAGTAGGTGGCCATGCGACTGGCCAAGTCTGCACACGTCGCAAACTCGTCCAGGGATGGAACCGAGAACCTGTGTTTCTTGCCCTGGCTGCACAAGTTGCCCGTGCTGCGATGATGCCACTTTGGCTTCCCGGTGCTGCTCGAAGAGGATGACATCTGTCGGCTGAACATCTCCGACATCCATTCCCACCTGCGAAAGTGTACAGAAGAAATGAGATGGCTCAGTGAATAGACGATTTGATCCAATATAAATCACTATCAACCTAAGCCATCTCCCTCAAGATTGCATTTAAAAATTATTTAATTTTTCTCCAGACAAAAGAAGGCTAAAATAAACCAGTAAAACGGCATTTTTCTACTTTCCAGCATAAAAGTGGACATTCATTCGAAAAGAATTTATGCAATCCTGACGACTTTTTGCTCTGAACTTTAGCAATTTCACAGAATTTGAGGGCAAGAAGAAAACGTTCCATTCTCCTCCCTACTTTTCCTCAATTTTCGGGAAAAATCTTCGAGTTTAAATTGAAAATTTGTTGAAATTTAACTCTTTCGAGCCTAAAAATTCCAGTCATGTGAGTCAATTTTTGCCATTACTGCAGCATGTTTCGTCATGCTAATTCCTTTTGGCATCAGAAAAAAAAGTAATCGTTGCCGCCAGGTCGTAATTTACCTCGAAATGCGGTGGCGACTAGAGCCAGTGGTGCTGCCGGTGCGGCGACGCGAGCGATTGGCGGCGTCCGAGATGAGGGCAGGGCCGCCACGAGCACCGCCGCCGCCAGTGAGTCGGTGGATCTCCGTGTCGTCGTCCGAGTTGGCACGCGGGTTTTGAGCATCCAGGTTCACCACTTGCTGCTCGTCCGACGAGTTGGAACGCTTGCTCGTGTTCCGCGACTGCTGGTTGTCCGCCTGCAAATACGACAAGTCCTTCTTCCGCTGCTCCGTCTCCCTCCAAATCCTGGTGCGCATGAATAAATAAATATAAAATAATGATGAATTATCATCCTCATCACCGAAAAAGTGAAATATCGCCAACGCAGGTTTCATTTTTACACTCCTTCATACGGATGACGATTACAAATATGATTTTTTTTTAAATCTGTACATTGAACACACAAAGGTCTACGTCAAATAAGTACTGCACTAGAAAATTTACATTTGGAAATTAAGTCCGCTTCTATTGAAACAGGAAAAAAAATGTCATCAAGTGTCCAAGACAAATTTAGATGAAGTTGAAGAAAAATACAGTACATAAAACCAGGTCTTCACCAAAAACATTGCTCTCAAAAATAATTTTCAAGAAACACAGTCTGACTGCATTTGACAAGGAACAAAAATCATCTATGCTAGCATTTCGGAATACAGAATCAACCTCAAATATTTTACCTGGAAAACTTGGATGTAAAGACCGAGTCATCGCGACGCATTTCTCAAAATACAATATACATCCGATACGACTCTTTCAAATGTAAGCTAGGAGTGTATATTTCTACAGTAGCGAAGTTGACATACAAGTTTCTGTCCTTTCTTTTTACACCCATCAAAAGCTAGCCACAAAATCAAATAGAAGAGCGCGTTTAGCAGAATTTCATTCATCAATTGTAGCCATTGTAGACATTGGAATAAAGCAGTCCCAAAAAAAAAATGATATAAAATACAACGCCTGCCTAAGAACAAAAAAGAAAGAGAGAGAGATAATAATCAGCCATCAGGAACACACCTGTAGTAGAGACCAATCATGACGGAGACGGGCAAATAGAAGGCGGCCACCGCAGTGACCAGAGTGACGGACGTGTTGGTCTCCAGGAACTGGATGAAACACTTGTCCTCGGGCACCTTCCGCTCGCCTTCGATGTAGGGCCAGGCGTAGATCCACGGCGGCCACAGGGCCAGGGAAATCAGCCAAGCCGAAGCTATCATCAGTGCTGCCTTCTTTCGAGTTCTTCTCGCCCGGTACGTTAACGGCCTCGTCACACTGCAGAAGAAAGGTGCGGTATTCCCGCAGTGCATCAAGTATTACACAGACTGTTCACACATAATTTCAAGGGAGTTGTATGCCAATTTCAAGTACTGTATCATCAAGTGATGGAATTCAATAAAATTCCACTAGATTTTCTCCGCTAGAAACTTGGAAAGCGCTCAGTTGGTCTATAAACAAACGGGTGAACACATTGTATTAAAGATGGAGGAATTTATATCAGCGGACCGAACTCAATTTTTTGTTCTCCCGAGTTCGGCGTATACCTGCACAGTACAAGGCACTCTCCATAATTATTTTCTCAGTATAACGGATTTCTTCGTGGTCATATGATATTATCTACCCCTCACATAAGGGCTCTCTGCAAGGACGTTCTTCCTGGCTTCGTGGATTTCGTTTTAGGGAGGATTCACCCGTATACAACATCGTCACTTGATAATTTTCTAGTCCCAGATTTGCATGCATACGAAATCGAGTCTTCAATATCAATTTCCTACTGCCTACAGAGAAATTGAAACATTTATTTTCGCTTACGACAACAGTACTTTGTTACATGGCAGCTCGCACGCGTCATGATTAAACCTCCCTCCCACCTTCCTCGCATTTTCTAATAATAATTAAGTGATTTTTGTCCTTTCTAAATTTATGGCAGCCTGGAGAAGTTTTTTATTTCTCAGGAGTTAAAAAAAGAACACAACTACGTACTGTAGTTATAAAATCTGCACCACAATGATATATCCGGTTGAAATTTAAAATACAGTACCTCAAAATCCTGATGTTTTTAAAAATCAAAATGATGAATTAATCTCCGTGCAGAAGACGGTTCCCTCTGTTCCATGTTCAACAAAGCAGTCTCGAGAGAGAAAAAAAAAGAGGCTTTCATCATACAAAACACACACACACCTAAAGTATCTGTCGAAACTGATGATGAGCAGGTTGAGCACGGACGCGTTGGACGCGAGGTAGTCCAGGGCCAGCCACGTGTCGCACACCACTGGCCCCAGGGGCCACCTGTCCAGCAACAAGTACATCGTGAACAAAGGCATGGACACGAGACCAATCACAAAGTCGGCCACTGCCAAGCTGAACAAGTAGTAGTTGGAGATGGTCTGCAGCGTCTTGTCAATCTTGAACGACAGGATCACCATCACGTTGCCGAGGACTGTGATGACGGACAACGAGCCGGCCACCAGAGCAATCAGTATCATTTCCCATGGCTTGTATGGGAACTGGTACGAAGGGATCGGGGACGGCGACAGCGTCGTCAATAACGATAAAGACGACGTCGTCTCTGCAATGATCCAATTTGTATTAGTCACACATCGTCAGAACAGAAAAACAAAATGTTCCAGCACAAAGGAAACGAAAAAACTGCGATTGTAATCACGAATACGCAGATGAATTCGGACGACAGTTGAAACTTTTCACAAGTAGCGAATCAAGAAAGACGCGCTCAATTCCGAGTAATAAAACCACGCTGAATTCCAGCAACCCCCGATGAACAGTCAGCCAATTTTCTTGCTCGAAAAGTTAATAGGCCAGGTACGTTTACGCGATCAACACGGGTTAAAAATGCTTGAACGAATGGAGAAATTATTTTCCACACTGACAAAGTTGTTGTGAAGGAGCTGCTTCAATTAAAAAAAAAAAAAAAAAAAAAACCCCAATGGGAAAACAAATTTTGTTGCACGGCGAATAATTTATCGGCAAAGTGAGAGTTCAGTTCCGATATTTTTACCTCGAAAATTTGGATTAATGAAATAATCACCGGTTAGTGACATAGTAGTCAAAGAGGAGGTAGTCGGCGTGCTGTTGTACCATCCTGTTTCGTTCATGATGACGTTCCGAGTCACAGGTCATCATGCCTGATCTTCTTCCGTCGCGGTTTCTTCAAATCCTACTAGCGAACTCAGTAGAAAAGTTCCTACTACCAATGGCTCCATCAGGAAATGAAGACGAACTTTTAAAAAACAATAGAAGCCCTTTTTCCTCAACTGATTTTCATAACTATTGAGCAAATATGTCACCCACGTTGCGCACTGAGTATTCACCAAAACTGCTGGGAAGTAGAAGCCAACGGTTAAAAAAAACCCTCTAAACTCGCGAAAGTTTTGAAATACTCTTGAACATCCGTCGATTCAAAAACAAAATATTTATGAAAAATACCAACCTAATTTCATCACATACACGGCATTTAAGAAAAATGAACTTCGGTCATGGGGACAGCTTGGATCTATTCCACAGGCTTTTTCATGGAACATGTTCAGAGAACGAATCACGGCACTTGTTCACGAGAGGTGACCCACCAAAAAATCCATGCGCGCCGCCATGACTTTCGACACTCTTGCCATCTATGAACAGAACATTGAACAATGAATCTCTCCAGCAACACTGGCCAGACACCCATATACAGTGAGGCCCCATCTCGCCGGAGCAGAACTCTTGGTTGGCAAAACTCTTTGCCACTGCGCCCTACATCCCCTCACCCTCTGCGGCCAACACTCTCTCTCCTGTGGTCGCGCATGAGTGACTTTAAGACTTGGGAATAAATCCCTTATGCAGGAAGTGGTGTAGCATGGACTCCATGTGAGAAAAAATGATTTCTCCATATATATATTTGGGAAATGAAATTATGGGATGGGTCTTTTAGATCTCAGGCATATTTTCTTAAATGAGGTTTGACAATAAGTGCATTTGACAAGTTGTATTCAATTGTGGGTTTGACAAAAGCCTCTTCCCAGCAAAAAATTGGGTATTAGAAATTTTTTGGCCTGGGTGCACCCATTCACCAAGGCATTTGCTGACCCATTCATTTGGCTTCTTCCAAAAACCAAACGGCCAGCTCTGCTGGAGGCAGCCCAGACCCATTCATGAACCCATTTATTGGGGCATTAGAATTGAAGCCAATCCTAACGCC